AGAGCAGAAAAGAGAGGAGGAATCTAACAACTTCAAACTGTAACAACTGGTAGTATTTCTTTTTGGAAAGCTCAGTTTAGCAACACAGAGATAGATGGATTAAAGAAGAGAGCAATAGGAGACAGAGATCCAATTAGATCAGACTGCTGCAAAATTTGAGGCAAAGAAAATTGAACTGGGTCAGGCAAGATAGGAAAGGAGAGGTGGGGAAGAACAATACTGCTGTTAAGGAAGGGTATCAGTGGGTTTTGATGATTGATTAGGTGTCAAAGAATGAAAGAAAAAGGAGGAGTTGATGACTCCGAGGTTTTGACTTTTGTGATTAGGTGCACCATGGCTAGTCAATAGATGAAATGCGGGAGTAACAGGTTTGGGTTAAAGATAATGAGTTCATGTTTGAAAATGCTGAATTCAAACTCAGCAGTTAAATATAAAATCTCGAAGAGTAAGAATATAAACTTCCCATGTGTCTGTTTCCTGTTCTTTGGGATTGTATAGAAGACACAAGATCTGTTATTGTTTATTCTTCTGCACTGCAGGTGTTTCCCTTTGTTGGCAGGGTTGCTTAAGCCTAGACAATATAAAAGGCGTCCCTTTGACCACTCTGGAGATGCATGTCTGGGCCAATCAATGAAAAGAAAAGATGGTGTCTGAATTGCTCAGTTTCATGTTCTCTAAATATGCAGGCTGCACCTTGAGTGCTGAGGAGATGAAAGAAGCTGACTCATATTTCCTGCAAGTCAGCACAGATATCCATCCTTCCAAATTATGTGGGCCTCTGGCCACTCCCAAAGACAGTCAAAGTGTTGGAATGGTTTATGAGCATCTCCTTTACTAATTATCTATTATAAAGATTCACAGAAGAAGAAAAAAGAAAACAAAATAAGTTTCCTATCTTATATCACCCTCAGGCTCCAATCTAATGTCCTCATCTTTTATAGAACGTCTAGGTTCCCTCTGGATTGGTTCAAATGATATCATCTTTGGTCACTTTCAATCTTCAAAATGAGAATTAAATTGCTCTGGTACCCAAGCATATCTGTCTAGTGAAGAATTTGTCTGACCTTTAGTAAAGCTATATGCCTGGGTGCATGACTTCTGCGCCTTGTGCTGGTGTACTATCAGTGTGTGGCTTCGAGGTAGGATCAGGATTTGATATAAAAATGCTGAACAAAGTGACTTTGTTAACTTATGAAAATATTGTCCTACCACTTAAAGAAAGCCAAGGGGCCTTCTTTACTTGACTATGCACAATAACAGCTAAACAGATACCTTATTTAAAATAAGTTGGCAATTTAAAGAGTAAAAATTCAAATTGTTCAAAGAGGTGAATATACTTACTTGAGAATGTCAAGAAGTAGTAATTTTCAAAGTGGTGCAAAAGTGCTGAGTCAAAGATGACTCCTCAGATGGTCACCCATGGAAGGAGACAGAAATGTGGTTCAGACTGCCACGGCCTTCCTGTCCTGTGCCATTCCTCTCAAGCACCAGGCTTAGAATGTCATTTCTAATACAATATTTCTTACTATTACTCTTGCAAATTGTGCAGACAAACTGTCTTTCAAGAATTGCACCAGATTGGTCTTTATAAGGAATAAACTGTTGATTTGACCACAGGGCTAATCAATTTCAGCTTGTGAATTAAATACATTGAGATGTGACTCCAATGCCATTTAACAATGAATACATTTTGGCAAAGTGTGTTTTGCCTTCCGAGACATTTAAACAGTTTCTCAAAGCTCACCAATTCCTAGTGGAAGGTTTTCTTGCCAGGAGGAAGCCCTGAAGCATACATATCAAGCTTCAAGGCTTCAGGTTTTCATTTAAACAAGTGGGAAACATGTGGCATAACCACTGAGGTATCTGGGTTTAACAGGTGGAGGAGATTGAGCTGTGCAATAGCTTGAGCTTCTAGTGCTGTAAAGGATACTGGTTTCATAGCTCCTTTTCATGCAGCATTCAAATGATAGTATTCTAAAATAACTTCTAAGAAACAGCCAGATAAGAGTTCCAGGTGTGAAAGGTGACATCATTTCAGAAATAGCTTGGGGCCAAAATTGATAAGCCACATTTTTCTATTTGGCTCATGTCTACATAATTAGGATGCCTTTCCTAAGTTACATTTAGGGCTTAAATTAATGTGACTACGGCTATGACTACGGTGACACAGGCTGGGGATACACAGAGAATTTATAACTATTAGCTCTGAAGTAAAGATACTTCCTAAGCACAGTCAGATAATTCTTACTGTTTTTCTACTGCTTTTAGATATTTTTTAGAGCTATTTTCTTGGATTAATAAACTTACAAACCTTCAAGTTTGAAACTTTAGAGCTATTCTTTAAGATGTTCTTGCAACTGTGTCTAATATTTTAACTTGCACCTCTGGTGCAGATAAAATATCTATGTGCTTTTTGCTGCTGCTCAAATACTTTGATATGCCAAAGTTCAGAAAAGAATACACCCATCAGGAAGAAACGATTAAAACCAAAAAAGGCTAAATGTGTGTCTAGTGGGGAAAGAATAGGTGTTATCTATTGGAACTTAATAAAACTTTAAAAATTTTTTTTCAGTGAGAATGCTTTTTTGTATACAATGTTATGTGATACATTTTTTAACAATAAGAAAACAGAACACTAGAATATATAATTCAGCCAAAGGAGGCCAGGGATTTAGCTCAGCTCAAGTGCCTGCCTGGCAAGCGCAAGATTATGAGTTTGATCCCCAGTACCAACAACAATAATAATAATAATAATCGTAACAACAATAATTCAGCCAATATAGGTTGGAGAGGCTCAACTTCATTTTCTTTTTACCTTGAATCCCGTTCTTTGATCCATATAATGACTGAAACAGAAACACAGATGCCATATTACAAATATCACTGTTCTAATTTCTCTGCTCTCTGCTTAAGAGCTTTCAATGACTTCTGTTTACAACTAGAATAAAATCAAAATCGTTTTTCTTTTGCCAAATGTACTGGAGATTGAACCCGGGAGCTTTACACTCGGCTATAACCCAACACTTTTTATTTTTTTATTTTGAGTCAATGTGTAAGTTACTAAATTTTCCAAGCTCAAATTTTCACTCTGGCTCAGCCTCTCAGAGTGCCAAACCCAATCGTGTTTCCAGGTCTTCTTAGGTCTTATAGAATTAAGGGCCTGCTCCAGTATCATTCTAAGTTTCTTCACGTAAAACATTTCTTTCACACCACAGACTCCACTCAGCTCTAGCTGCCTAGCTCCTTGCGGCCACAAGTTCTTTGCACAGCCCTTCCCTCTGCCTACACAACTTTTCAGGCTCTTTACCCATTACTGGCTCTATCTCTTGCTTCAGATGAGTCTTCCCTTGGGCACTATGGGTTTTAAAAGCCATTTTGGTGTATGGTATCCAAGAATTCTTTACATAACCATTACAGCACACTTTCCTCCCAAATGTTGACCGTTCTCCTACCAGACTGCCACTCCCTTTCTGATTGTCTCATCTATGTGTCCCCCCTGTTTAAAGTTTCAGTGACTGCTTACTGACTGACTACAATGGATGAAGCTGAAATAGAACATAAAACTACAAACCTGGCTGGCCACTAAAATGGATGAATGCCTATTCTGCCCAGTTGGCTTGAAGCCAGAGGGATTTTCAAGGTCCTATTACTTCCTTCATTTGTCCATGGTATAGTATCTAGCATTTATTGAGTACTTTAGGCACTATGCTAAGCACTGCATATGTACTGTAGAATTTAACTTTCACAGTAACCCTGTAGGGGTAACCAACCTTTATTATTCTCATTTTTCAGGGGCAACTTGCCAGCAGCCATTTAGAGTGGAGCCACAGTCGGGCTTAAGTAGGCCATATCCAATGAAGCAAGGTAACGGACACCTTTAGGCCAACAATAGGTGTTTTATCAACGTACTTTTCGGAGCAGCCCCCCAGAGTTCCCCGTTTTACCTATTTTGGAATGAAACCTACGAGAAGGTTGCTAAGCCTCCAGGGGTTTTCCTGCAGAATCTGAGTGTCCTTAGGGATCAGAGGCCGCTCAGACCCACGCGTCGAGCTCCTGCTAGAAAGGACTCCCGGGCGAGCCGGGGAGGAAAGCAGAAACCGCTCAGTAGGCGCAAACTGGATCCTCGTGCCTCCGGGTGTTGAAAGAGGAAGGCACTGCAGGCCTAGTCCACGCCCTCTTCGGGTTCGGGATCTCCAGACCTAAAGGAAAACCACGATGCGTTTCCCCAACTACAGCAAGCGCGTCACTAGCCCGCAGGGCTCAGCCCCGCCCATCTCCCCCGCCCTTTTCAGGCTTCGCGTCAGACCGCAAGGTTCTCAAGGAGCCCTCGGCAGCCCCCCTCCTCCCCGCAGCCAGACTCGCCCTGTGATTGGTGCTCTCGGGCGCGATCTCCGCCCCCTCCCTTGCGTCACTACCGCGCCTGAAGTCGGGGGAGGAGGCGGAGGCAGCGGCGACCGCGAAGGGAGGGGGAGTCCCGTCTGACTGAGACGGCAGGCCTGGGCGGGCGGGGGTGCCGCGCAGGGCGGAGCGCCGGACTGGGGATGAGCTCAGCGGGCTCTGCGCGCCGCGGCATTCAGCCCCTCGTGTCCCGCTGCCGAGGTTGAGAAGGGGTCTGGCGCCGTTCCTCGAGTCCGACTCGCTGTGTGCGCGGGGCCGGCGTGGAGGTGAGTGCGGGGGCGGCGACGCGGGCGGCGGCGGCGTGAGGAGCTGTCACGGTTCCGAAGGGTGACAGGCGGGGATGCGGACGGCCGCGACCTCCGCCTGGGGCTCCTTAAAAGCCTTACCGCAGTTCGCGGGCTTGGGCCGCCCAGGGTGGCGCGACGGGGCTGAGCGGCGTCTGCGCTCTTGCGTTGGGGTGCAGGGGGCTCTGGGGTTCTCAGTCCGGGTTTCCCATTCTGGGCTGGCTCGGGGCTGTTGTTGTTTGGGTGGTGGGGGCGGGGAGGGGGGAGGTCCTGGCGCGGGGTTTGACAAGCTGGTTACGTAAGTCGGCGGTGGCTTCCCGGAATCCCACCTGCTCCGCGTCTCCGCGCGGCGCGGGGGAGCCCAGGCCGCCTCTCTTCCCTGCCATCCCTCCCGCCCTATCGGCCTCAAGAGGACGCGGGTTCCGCGTGAGCCCGGCCAGCGTCCAAGTTGGGCAGTTTTTATTTGTTTTGTTTTGTTTTGCTTGGGGAGATGGGGAGAGAGGATTCCACGTTACCACCATTCCCTTTAAAGTTTACTATCCGGGTGTGTGTGGAGGAGCATACGAAAGAAAAGGCTGTGACCTAAAATTGGGTCGCAGCGACAGCTTTTCGTGGTCGTGCTTTTTCAGTGACGGACGTGCTGGAAGATTGTTGTTGTTCCAGTATGCCTTTTTTTTTTTTTTTTAATTCAAACGTTCAATAACGCCTTGGAGCCCGAGAGAGAGATTTTTGTTTTATAGGACAGTTAGGTCTTGTTTGCGACAGCAGGACAAGCATCAGTCAACAGGCGTGTTATTTATTTGAGGAGAAAACGCGTGTCAGCCAGAGTGTCATGAGGGCAGAGACTGTATTAATGTGAATGTTATTCCTTAAAATGCATTATCATCTCATGAAAAGAGTAGCCCAAGTGGAAAAGGTGCAGTTTTATAGGATTACAAGTTTGTATTTGGTTTGTATATACTCTCATGTTTTCTGCCTGTTTTCTCCTACCTCTGATCTCTTTGGGGGGAGGAGTTGCAGACACCTGTAAACAGCGTAGCACTAATCTATTGTAGGACACTAATTACATTAATCTATTGTAGGACATTTGAAATTATTATAAAATAGTCTGTGGGAGACATAAGGTTGGGTAATAAGTAAGGACTTTTGGGAAAGTTACTCAGTTTATGTTTATAATGGTTCTGCATTCAGCTTCTGAAACCTTTAGTGTGTAAGTTCTGAACTATTAACTCTGAACTTTTAATAAAAATTTATTTGGCTTCTCGTATGGGGACTTTGTTTAGTTTGGGGACAAGATAAATATTCTAGGCAAATTTTAATTCATTGTAACAATCTTTTCTTGAGGCAGAGCTCTCAGTAGGAGTTTGGAATACATGTATTATCATCAATGTGTATGTTACATAATTTTCTTCTTCTCAGTGTTTAAACACAGACTTGCTTCCCTATGAAATTTTATAAGAATACTAGGGAAGTTAACTAATCTTGACACCAAGTCAAACCTGGGAATAGATGAGTAGATTTCAGCTTGAATTTTAAACTTGTGTACACAAATTTACAGTTTTGAAAATTGGTGAATCAGTATAAATTGTTTGTGCAGGAGAGCCAGAAAGTTTGATGCTGATTGTTTTGAAATTTTCCACATGATTTGCCACTACTTTAGTTATTGGTTGTTAAATTCCTGGAACTGTTATCTTACTTCTGGCAACTTGAATAATATTTAGTATGAATGGAAGGCTATGAGAAGGAACTCAGTATGACATTTATTCATTAAAAAATTAAAGCACAGTAATAGAAGAAAACCTATTTTCTATCATGTGGAGGTTATATTACCTTTTGTTTGCACACTTTTTCTAGGCATTCTTCTTAACAGGAAAACTTCCTTTTCTTAAGGAGTGATATTGATGGTAATGTTTATTATAAATCTTAACACTGTTCTTATCTAAAGTAATGGCTCATTATTCTAAGTAGAAAACATAAGTGTTCGTAGGGAAATTGACTTGCTCTTCTTGCCTTCTCTGATGTCCAAGACTTAACCTTTGTGGAACTTTTTCCTACCAGAGGTAAAAAAAGAGTGACTGAAAAAAAAATGACTGAGTTTTCTTCCTTTTGTGCTGTTCTTTATTCTGTGGAATTTATTGGGCAGGGAGGAGAAGTCAAACCATACTTCATTATTGTATGTCATACTAATTTCTTTGAATTCTAAAAGAGCAGTATAGAACTTTATATTTAAGGAACCATTAATTTACATAGTGCGTTATAACAGTGAAAAATTTTAAGGGTCAAAATATTCTATGATAGGGAATGGTGATACTAATGATTATGTGGTGGAACCAGCTATTAAAAATCATATTTTCAAAAAAATATTTACTAACATGAAAATATTTAAGTAATGAGAGGAAAATCATAATATAAAGAAATGCAGAGTTTGCAAAAAAAATGTGTACACACTTCAGCAGCTTGCCATATGAATATATGTCTGCAAGCTAATCGCCACTACTTTGAACACCTCTTGTAGTTCTGCAGGCTAGAGGTAACTTGTATTAAACTCATGGTAATAAATTTAGTATTAAAATATTTATACAAATTTTACTTTTCCTGATTTTTTTGGCAACTTATATAGTATTATTTGTAGCATCACCTATTTGTGATTGTAAGGATTGACAAGAAATACTGACAAGTATTGTCTTCTGGGTAATAGGGCTTCAGTACAAAAATGACATTAAAATATCTTCAGGGGTTATAGTAGAAAATACTGAAAATTATTACTCCAACAGAGAAACTATCTTATGATTTATTGTCAGCAAAACAAACCCAAAATGTGGTGCTTATTTGCTGTACATATAATAGAAACAGTTCATAATTATCAACACTGACCTTATAATAGTTTTACATATGAGATGTGATTGACAAATACGGTGAATGTTAACCAAATTTTACAATGAAACTTTTATAGTTAATACCCTCAATATACTGTCCTGTCTCTTCTAACACATTCTTACCACTTTCTGAAGTATTCCTGGAAGTCCTCTTTTATGAGTGTCTTTACATGTTGTGATAAAAACTATGGTGAATGCAGCTGCCCATGGCATCCAGTGGAAAGGCAATACAGTCTGGCACAGTGGGACTTCTGGTTCTTCCCGAAAGCCAAAATGACCATAAAGGTAAATGTTTTTAATTGATTCAGGACATCAAGGCAGCCAGGACAGCACAACTAAAGATACTTACAAAAGAAAGATACATACAAAAGAGGACACCCAGTACTGCTTCAGAAGTGGCAAGAATGACAAGATAAGTGTGTTCAAAAGAAGGGGAAGATTTTGAGGGTGATTAATGGCAGTGTGTCTTTTACTGTAATGTATTTTTAAAAATTTAATCATTTACCATAATGTTTGATCACCTGTTGTTTGTAGACCTTTTGTATCAATGGACATTGCTGCTCATCACCTCCTTTTCTGTTTGCTTCTTGCACCAAGTTGTTCTGTATTGACAGTGCCACCTATTGATGTACTCCTCTCCCTAACCTTTCCCGATTACTTTATCAGTTAGAAGGCTGCAGTTTTGAAATGTTTTGAGATGCCAATGTTTTGCTGGTTACTGAGGACACAAAGGTAAATAAAATGTGCTTTCTGCCCTCAAAACTTTGCTGGAGAATGCTTAATATTTTGGGATTGGGGTACATTGGCTCCTTATGTGTACTCTACTTTTCTGTTTTACTGCTACACTTGGGTCTTACCTTTTTGCCAGTGCTTATGTACTCTTGTAAATTTCTTGGTGGAAAAATGTTTTTGAGTTCCAGACAACCAACTTACAAGTAACTTTATGGAACATTTTTTGATGGTAAATTTGAGGATCTTATGTTCATCAGTGGCTGTTAGTGTTATTTTTAGAATGTGTGGCACTTTCTTGGTTCCTTCCTCTTGCTTCCTTCTGTTAAAAATCAGAAGCAAGTGGAAAACAGGAGAGAAAAGAGAGATAAACTGTCAAGGAATTGTTTTAACAATTCATTTTCCATATATATATATATATGTATACATACACACATATATGTTAAAATGTATATATATATGTAAACTCAGGGTTTACCTGCTTTTGTTTTCAAGTAAAAGCTGAAATATGGAGATACTTCTTAATTAATTTTTAAAAATTTTGTTGTAATATTGCTTTACAGATGAATTTTTTTATTTTTGAAGTATTAAAAATAAATTATCAAAATATGTAGCATACACCTATTAAACCCACAAATGAAATACTAATATTTTTCATTTTTGCTTCATATGTATTTAATATTTAATTTGTTTCTTTTTTTTTTTTTTGGTACCAGGGATCGAACTCACAACCTCATACTTGCCAGGCAGGTGCTTAGGCCACTGAGCTAAATCCCCAGCCCCTTATATTTAATATTTAATAGAAGTATGTTTATCATAGATATTACACTGAATTCTTTAAAGAAAAAGGCACTCCCTAGTGTAAAAAACTGAAAGTGTAAATAAGATCCAAAATGTACAGTAGATATTGTGCAAGTGAAAGGCAATGAAACTGCTCAAAAGGAAAGAACAATTGGAGTAGGAGAAAGGAGAAAAAGGAAAAAGGGAAAAGATTATATATATATGTACACACATATATACAAGATATATAACTACACTGCTAATCTCTGTTCATCAAAAAGAACAGTTTGTGCTTTCATTGATCATTTTTTATGCCTATATCTTGGAATCTGAACTACTTTGCAGATAACAATATGCAATATATTAACCAGTGTTAATCTATTCTTTTGTTTTGCAATTCTGTATCATTTTTATTTTTTCAATTTAAAAAAAGAAAAAGCAGTATAGAACTTTGTAGTTCACTTGAAGTTAAAGTCTCTTCTGTTCACAATTTCATCCCTCTCTCTTTCTGATTTGTAAACTGTGTACATAGTGATACTTTGGTTCATGAATTTAATTCTTTCCATGTTTCTGGTTGCAAACTGAATTGGGCAAGAACGAATCATATTTCCTCCTAAGGTCAGCATTGAACCTAACTGTTGAATTTGATTCAGTTCTTATCTAATTCCATTTGCCACCAGAAACATGGAGTTAAGTTCGTCAACCAAGGTGTCACCGTTACATGGTGTTGCTTTGGGTGTTTTTAAAGTATATAGTTTTGGAACCAGGCCTCCAAGCTTTGAATCTTATGTATGTTACTTAATAGTTTTGTGGCTTAAGTTAATTTTACAGTCCTTAGTGTCCTTATCTCTCTAATAGATTGGTATGTCCATCTGATGAAGTTATTGTGAAAATTAATGAGTTTAATAGGTGATTAAAATTGCCTGGCACCTTAAAAAAACATACCGGTAACCTGAAGCATATGTTAATATGATTGTATCATGTTCATGTAGGTATTTGGAAACTTTATTTTAACCCCCTACACTCCTTACTGATACTATGGGTCAGACAGTTCATTTTTACTACTTTGTACTATCCTATTGAATATGTTTGCTGCAGTTTATTACTTCATTTGTTGATGAATATTTAGGTTGTTTTCATTTTTATCTGTTACAAATGTTACTTCATTAACATTACAATATCTCTTGGGATAATGTGCCAATTTCTCCAAGTCATATACTTGATTGTCAAATTTCTGAGACTTAGGAAAGATGTATTTTTCCCTTTACAGGATATTTATAGGATATTGCCAAACAATTCCAGTTTCTGCATATTCTTTTTTTTTTTTTTTTAGAGACAGGGTCTCACTATATTGCCCAGGCTGGAGTGCAGTGGTTATTCACAGGCGTTATCCCACTACTGATCAGCATGGGAGTTTTGACCTGCTCCGTTTCTGACCTGGGCCGGTTCACCCCTCCTTAGGTAACCTAGTGGTCCCCCGCTCCCGGGAGGTCACCATATTGATGCCGAACTTAGTGCGGACACCCCGATCGGCATAGTGCACTGCAGCCCAGAACTCCAGGACTCAAGCGATCCTCCCACCTCAGCCTCCCGAGTAGCAGGGACTACAGGCGCCTGCCACCACGCCCCAGCGAGTTTCTGCATATTCTTGTCAGCAGTTAGTTTTAGTATCAGATTCTGTAGTTTTTGGTTCTTGGTTTAGTGTAAAATGGCATATCATTTTTGTTCTACTTTTTTAATTTTTCAATTTTTTTCCTATTTTCGTTGTTTTTATCATTTTAAGTATTAGTATTTTTGGTTTTTCTTCAGTGGATTGCCTGTATCCATCCTTTGTAAATTTTCTGTTCAGCTACGTGCTTTTTTAAAAATCACTTACAGGGTATTAAAAATTATTAGCAAAGTTTTATTTTTCTTTTGGTACTGGATATTGAGCCCATGACCTTTGCATTTAACTACACTCCCAGCCTGTTCTTTTATTTTCAAACAGGATTGCATTAAGTCCCCAAGTTGCCTTGGCAAGGCTAAAACTTGCAGTCCTCTTGTTTAATCCTTCCAGAGTATGTATGCTACTACGCATGGCTGGGAGCTTGTTTAATTGGCTTTTGATATTTCCAGATCTCTTGAAACAATCACCAGTATGGACTCAAATTATTATGATTTTGAACTTTAGAGTAATTGTAGTTTTGAACTTTTGATAGGGAGCTTTCCAATGTACTTTCTTAAAATATGTGTTTACAATCCTCTTTTCAAACTATACTGAAATATTTCAGTAATATACTGCAAATATATTTTACCTAAAACTATTTAAAATTTGTTGTTTTAAAAATCTGGATGGAATTTTTATTAATGTGATTAATAGTACACTTTCGCATTAGTCTAAAGTCTGAGTGGTCTCATGCTTCGTGAAGAGTTTTCTTTTAAATGGCTATCAGCTAAGGAATTGAAATGTACACAGAACAAATGACTTGCAGTCACTTACACCTACAATATTATAAACTCTTGAGCAATGTTAAGATTATTTGGCGGGGCTGGGGATTTAGCTCAGCGGCATAAGTGCCTGCCTTGCAAGCAGGCAGTCGTGAGTTAAATCCTCAGTACCGATAAAAAGGAAGAAGACCAAAAAAAAAAAAAAAAAAAAGATTATTTGGCACAGTATTAATTGTATTTCTGTTTTTGTCTAACTCACTATAATGACAAGGATTAAAAGCAGTCTGTTTAAGGCACTAACTTCCTTACACTGTTACTAGTTTAAATAAATTTTTTATCTCATACAATAGTTATAGACAGAAAAGTTACAGAAAATTACTGTTTACCCTGCACTCAGTTTCCTATTTTTTTTGTGGGGGGCAGAGGGGTATTGCTGCGAATTGAACTCAGAGCCTTGCACATGCAAGACAAGCTCTCTATACTGGGCTGTGTTTCCAGCCAGTTTCCCGTTACTTGTCACATTTGTCACAACTAAGGCAACAACATTTTTTCATTACTATTAACTAAAGTCCATATTTTATTTGGCTTTTGTTAGTTTTTACCTGATGTTCTTTTTTGAATTCCAGTATCCCATCCAGAATACACACACATTTAGTTGTCATTTCTCCGTAGGCTGTTCTGGACTATGATAGCATCTTAGGCTTTCCTTGTCTTTGAGAGCTCTGTTTTTAGGGATACTATCTTAGCTTTCTGTTGCTATCACAGAATACCTGAGAAAACTTTTAAAAAGGAAATGTTTGTTTTGGCTCATGGTTTCAGCCCATGGTCATTTGGCCCTGCTATTCTTAGGCCTGTGATGAACAGCACATGGCAAGGAGCAAGCATGGAATAGAGCAAGGCTGCTTACCTCATGGTGGCTGGGAAGCCAAAGAAAGAGGAAGAGGAGGATCCAGGGTCCCAGTAGCCCCTTCAAAGGCCCTCCCCAGCAACCAGTCTTCCTTTCACTAAGCTCTACCTTCTGAAGGTTGTACCACCTTCCAGTAGCACCGTGGTTTTGTGATTAATCCTGCAACAAATAGGTCTTTGGGGGATAATATTCAAGAGAAAACTATAGTAAGTACTAGTCAGACATTTTATGGAATATTCCTCAATGTTGGTTTGTCTGATGTTTTTCTTATGGCTAGACTGGGTTATGGATTTGGGGGAGGACATCATGGAGATAACAGGCCATTCTCATCACATCATATCATATGGGCAAATACTATTAATATGACTTTACATCATTGTAGTTAGTATTAATCATCTGGCTGAGGTAATAAAGATTTCTGTGCTCTAAAGTTTTCCCATAATCTGATTTTGGAAATAAGTCACTAAATACAGACCACACTCAATGGATAGAGAATTTGACTCTACCCTTGAGGGTAGAAAGAGGTGTTTATAAAATTCTTCAAAATTCCTCTGCAAAATGACTTTACTCTTCTCCCTTATTTGTTTATCCTATCATTTATTTATACTGGGAAAGACTTAAAGTTTTTACTGTTAAGGTTGTTGTCCTGTGGCTATACTACTTTATTTTGTTGCTTAAGTGATTCCACTTCTTTTAGGTTGACTTTTGTGACCGGTGTTCTGCTTTCTGAGCACTTTTTCCTTTCTGGTGCTATAAGATGCCTCAGGTTTACTATTCTGCTTTGCTTGATAGTAACAAGTTTGAAAGTATAGGCAACAACTGTGAAGACAGTAAAATTCATTATGATGCCCATTCTGGTTGACTATTATCTTCTTTTAAAGTCCTGTAA